AGATGGTTTCCTCACTGCCAGGGTTGTAGAACACTATAATCAACATGCGTGTTGCTTTCCTTGGCAAGCACTGGAAACTCCACATTTATCTTCTCCTTACCATTCTGGTTAATTCCTCAGCCTCCTTCAAAGCCCAGCTGGAAGCTGGCAAGAGTAGATGCCATGGGTCACTCTAATTTCACACCACGTTGACTAGCCTGTTTGCAGGTCCATCTCCTCCCCAGAATGTGAACTCCCTGAGGGGTGTCTGATGGAGGTCTATAATCCCAGAACCTGGCACAGTGCGCAAGACTTACAGTAAAGAAGTGCTGGCCTTAAGAACCAGCTATCAGACGTTGACTCCTGGCCTTTACTGTGGAATAACTAACTTTGGGCAAGCCCTTAACCGCCTCCCTGAGCCTGTTTCTTCAACTGCAAAGTGGGGACAATAGTTGCAACTAACTCACATAAGTAGCGAGGAATTCAAAAGAATTCATGCAGTTACAGCTCATAGCCAGTCCAGTACCCTGGACTCAAAACAGCCATGTGTTATCGTTAAGCTCTCTCTTTGTTGCTTAGTAAGTACGTAGATGGGGCTGGGGCTGGGGCTGGGGCTCAGTGGTAGAGCACTTGCCTCGTATGTGTGAGGCCCTGGGTTCGATTCTCAGCACCACATATAAATAAAAATAAAGGTCCATTGACAACTAAAAAAAAAAAAAACAACAAAAAAAAGAAGAAGGTAAATCTGTAAATAACAACCCTCTGCCTAAAAGTTAAGTTCTTAAAGTTCTTAACTAGAAAACTTTGCTGCGTCCCAGGCGTCTGGCGCTTTCCCTGGCTCTAAGGATCTGCAGCTCTGACAGGCGGGTTAGGGCGGGGCTCTGGGCCGGGGGGCGGAGTCGGGACGCGGGTCACGTGGGGCGGGCGGGGCTTGCGTGCGGTCACGCGGCCGGCTGTTGACACTTCCGGGTAGGGCGCGCGGGGGACCGGCTGGGCAGGGTGGTCGGCTCGCGGCCACCATGGCGTACCACGGCCTCACGGTGCCGCTGATCGTCATGAGCGTGTTCTGGGGCTTCGTGGGCCTCCTGGTGCCCTGGTTCATCCCCAAGGGCCCCAACCGCGGGTAAGTGCGGTGGCGCCGAGGGCGGCCCCAGGCCGGGAATCGGGGGCTTCTTCCGCGCCGCGCCCCGAGTCTGGAGACGAGTGTCCTCCCCGCCGACGCTCGCCCGCCGGCTCCCACCGGAGGCCTGGGTCCGAAACCCTGAAGAGAGGGTCAAATAAAAGAATCAGCATCTGCCCTCCCCGCCTCCTGTGGGCGCGCTCTGCGACGGCCCGGGCCCTGCACCGGGGCGCCAGGCCTGGCCCGCGGAGGTGCGCTCCCGGGAGCCGGGGGTGTCATCCCGGGTGTCGTGGGCGGCCCTGCGTCACACCGTCCCCTAGGCGCCCCGGTGCCTTGAGCGTCGCCGTGCTGAGGAGGATTGGCCGAGACGCGTGCTGCGTTTTTCAATCGCAGACCCGTGTGTCGAGCTTTTCGAGGGTGGTGTCATACAGAGCCTCAATGGCCAAGAAACTCTAAGACGCTCCTTTCTGCTTCCTCTTTTTTTTTTTAAATTATTTTTTCTTAGCTCAAGACAATGCAGGAGGGAAACTTGGACTAAAGTCACAGTTTGTCAGAAATACTATCTCTTGCTTCAGTTCTTGAAACTGGCTTGTGGCCTGGTTTCACAGCCTCTTGCATGCACAGTAGGCACGCAGTAAATGTGGAGTCGGTAGTTAGGTGGCCTTGATTCAAGGAAAACAAACTTATTACTTCCTGGACCTCCTTTGCTGTCTGGGATAGGCTTGATTTTATATCTGTTCCTTCTGTTACCCTAAAAATAAACTATTCTTTTTTTTTTTTTTTAAAGGAAACATGGTAGATGAATGTCCATCATTTGCAAGCATCATGACCCCCTTCCCCATAAAGCAATTATATAGGGTCATACCTCCACAGCAGAGTGGTTGGCATAGATTTTTTTATTTTTTATTTTTATTAAGAAGAGTGGTCTCTTGGGCTGGGGCTGGGGCTCAATGGTAGTGCACTTGCCTGGCATGTGTGAGGCACTGGGTTCGATTCTCAGCACTGCATAAAAATAAATAAAATAAAGGCCTATCAACCACTAAAACAATTTTAAAAAAAGAAGGGTGGTCTCTACTGTGTCTAATAGGTGGGCCATGAACTCCTAAGTTCAAGCAGTTCTCCTGCCTTAGCCTCCCCAGTAGCTGGACTACAGTTGTGGGCTAGTCTGCCCAGCTTAGTAGTCGATGTATAGTGTCAGAATTGTGAGGTTATTAAAACAATTCATATAAGCCAGATTTAGTTGGAATTAGACAACAAAATCAAAATTCTTTGTTGTGTTTATATCTTCATGTTTCATTACTCTTCTGCCTTTCTTGCCTTCAGCTTCAGAAAAGCATTTATTAAAAGCATATCATATCCAGGGTATTGAGACCCCTCCTGTTTCTATTCAGTTTCTAGCCTAGCATGAAGGTTCTGGTATTTGATCTGCTGGTGATATATGGGTACATTCATGCCCTCACCACAGTTCTTGTATTTCCTGCTCTTGGTAGGATTGAGCAGGTCTTGAGACAAGGTCTCCAGGAGTTGTAGGATTACACTTGAGAACTGCTCCTGGGTGGATGACCTCTGACAATGGACAGTTGAGTTAACTTTTCCAAGTTCCTATTTCCTCATGGTAAAATGGAAACATTAGTACTGAATTAGTACTAGTTCCCCTTTACCTCTGGAAAAGATTGCAAATCAGATTTTGTTTTTTTAATATGCAAAGGAGCTGAGCTGCTTCATGGATTGTGTTTTTAATACAGAAAAAGCATTTCTGATTTAAGAGATTGAAGTCTTCATTAAGAAGATAAGTAAAAGAACTGTGTAAGAAGGGAGAAAGACAGAGGACTCTGATATTACATCCTCTTTCCTGAGAGACCCCGGAGCACTGCAGTGTGGACTGTTGGGTGGTTGTGAGTTTAGAGGCCTGGTGAGGGAGGGAGGCTGGGAGGCAGGGAGGCTAGCCTGAGGCAAGCCCTTTCCACTCTTTCCTGCAGTGGAATAGTGAGATAAAATAAGTCTGTGCCAGCTTTCTTGCCTTTCCTGGTCTTCATGACCCCCCCCCTTTTTTTTTTTGATAATCCACAGATTCTCTAAAAGCTTTTTTTTTTCTTTCCACATTGGCTCTGCCAGGCATGGCGGAAGGCAGGGAGGCGCAGAGGAGTTCGCCTGCAGGAGTTCAGTCAGCTCCGGTTTTTCTATCAACATTTCAGACATCGAAAAGTGGAAGGAGTGACAATGACAATAAGGGCCACATACTACCACGTAGATTAAATAACTAACATACCCATTTTCGCTTTGTTTATGAATACTTGTGTGTATAAAATTTGCCCAGCCATTTGAAGCAAAATTGCAGCCAGTGTGACTTTTCACCTCTAAAGACTCTGCATGCAGTTCTTAGAAAGCACATATGAAGCTAATGTTTTAATGAGGGAGCTTTATATGAAACAGTGTATTATTTGTTTAATTTTGTGGTACTGGGTGTTTTGAACTCAGGGGTACGCTACCCCTGAAATACATCCCCAGCCCTTTTTACTTTGAGATAGGGTCTTACCAAGTTGCCCAGGCTGGCCTCGGATTTATAATCCTCCTGCCTCAGCCTCCCAGGTAGCTGGGATTACAGGTGTGCGCCTCCGCACTCGACCCTCACATAACTTCTGAAGAATGGTTTAGGAATAATTATAAACAGGAGTTCTGATATTTGCTTTCCAATCCAGGGGAGTCTTGCTTGCTTCCTGGGATGTGGAGATCCCTCTTTGGAAGCCACTCCTGTGGGTGATGTGGGACTAGAGAGGGATATGATGAAAGGAATAGTCCAGACAGGTGAGTCTAAGCGATGGTGTGGGTGGCATGAAAGAGAGGGAAGGGAGCTTCGAATCTGAGCCATATGCTGCCCTAGCATCCTGGCCAGCTGCTGACAGTGCAGTTGGAAAAGAGCAAGCCTATCAGGGGAGAGATGCTTCAAGGTTACCAGTCCCTGCATTAGGTGAGCAAGGGTGCAGAGTGGGCATGAGCAAAGGATGGTGGATTGAGGGGCGGGCGGATCAGATAGGTGGAAATGGCACAACTGCTTCTGGGAAGGAGGAAGTGTTTTTGTTTGTTTGTTTGTTTATTTTGGATTTTTGGTGCTGGGGATTGAACCCAGGGCCTCACTCATGCTAAGCATGCAGTTTACCACTGAGCTACACCTCTGGCCCTCTGGGGAGTAGGAGATCTATAAGAGGAACTTTTGAAAAAGAGATGAAAGAGGATATCATGAGTTTTGTTTTAGAAAGATTGAAATTCAGCTTTTTTTTTTTTTTGGTCCTGGGTATTGAACCCAGGGGTGCTTTACGACTGAGCTACATCTCCAGCACTTTTTATTTTTTTTATTTTGTGACAGAGTTTCACTGAGTTGCTTAGGACTTCACTGATTTGCTGAGGCTGGCCTCACTGTGATCCTCCTGCTTCAGCCTCCTGAGTCTTAAAGGATTATAGGTGTACACCACTATGCCCAGCCCAAGTTTAACTTTTTAGACATGAGTAAAGATGGGAAGAGTCAGTATCAGAGAGCATAGTTTTAAAAGTACTGTATTAATTTATTGCAGAGAATAGTACCAAATCTGGTAGTGACTGGGCTGTCAAAACTAACTGTCACTACAGATTTTTCTGTTCAGTTGCAGATGGATGTGGATTGGACCAGGTGTATCCCGGGCACACTTTAGTCTACTGGATATTCAAGCAGATATGGATCCACTTTCTTGGTGCACAATCAGTGGCAGCTTGACCACGTCGGGAGGGGACTTACAGCGTCACTGTGTCCCTGGTTCACTGGTGATCTGATAACATTTGCCTTTGTTGTGCTTTGTTTTTAGAGTCATCATCACCATGTTGGTGACCTGTTCAGTTTGCTGCTATCTCTTGTAAGTATATTGTTTTTTCCCAAAATAATGAGCGATTATTTTTGTATTTATAATGTGTGTGATTACACATTTTGTTTTATGGGAGCTTAGCCCTTGTGTGTCCTCAAATTGAAAAAACCACTCTTTCAGGTGCTCACTGTATCATGTGAGAGCTGTGCAGATGCTGTTCTCTTGGGAATAAAAGTTCAGTGTGATTGGCACAGGGTGAAGCTTTTAATTAATTGGAAATTATCATCATACTGCTTGATACTTTAGCATTGTGATTTGTTTAGATCTACTCATTTCACTTCCGTAACTCACTGTGAGGCTGATGAACTGTCTTATTATGACTTGTTTCATGAACAAAGGTCGAACTAGACTTACCTTCGAGAAGAGTGAGGGTGATTTTTCTAATTTTATTGTAAACTGTATTCAAGTGTAATAATTCATATCTATGGAATAGTTATATAATTTACATAAATGATTGAGTGAAGACCATTTGGGGATTATGTAAGCTCATCTCTTTTCTTGCCACGTATATGTGTAGTGCCACTCTTTATTCTCTCGAAGACCAGAAATGGCAGAGCTGCGTGAGCTGTTTCCAAGTCTCCTCTACATTTCTCCCTCCCTGAGAATGTGAGTGAGTCCAGTCTCAGGATAAAAACATGGATTTAATGAGTTCCTGGAGAGAGTGACTGCTTCAGAGTACTCAAAGATCACAGTATTTCTTCTTCTTTTAATTGAGGTAGATATCACGTACCATGAAAGTCATCTTTTTAGGAATTTCTTTTCAGAGTTTAGAACTAGTGATTCTCTCCCCCGCCCCCTTTTTTTCTTTTTTGGTTCCTGGGATTGAACTCAGGGGCACTCGACCACTGAGCCACATCCCATCCCTATTTTGTGTTTTATTTAGAGACAGGGTCTCACTGAGTTGCCTAGTGCCTCGCTGTTGCTGAGGCTGATTTTGAACTCGCGATCCTCCTGCCTCAGCCTCCTGAGCTGGTGGGATTACAGGCGTGTGCCACCGCACCGGCAAGGCCTTTGTTTTGATAGCTTGAAGAGCTCTGTAGCATGAGCAGCGAGGCTGGTGACAGTGTCTCAGAGGAGAGAAGACGACTCTCTGGGGAGTGAGTCTGGAGTGAATCAAAACAGGCCAACAGGTTGTGGCTTCTGATTCTCCATGGTCTTTGAAAGGTGGCTGCCTTTCATGATGTTCTCTTTAAGACAAAAGAACCTTTCCAGCAGTCTCATGCCTCCTATTTTCATTTTCAAGTGTAAAATGAGTAACTGGACTTGGTGGGAAGTGATTTTACCTGGGGTCCTGGTGATTCAGTTGAGGACTGTCAGTGTGCTCCTGTCTCTTGCTGTCTAGACTAGTTCATTTCTTCCTTTGTCCCCACGTGCTGGTGCACGTTGTCTTGACAGTGACTCGTACTACCATTGCTGTGTTGTAGAGGTAGTTCATAGTGGGGTTTGGTTTTGATTGTATGTGGTACTGGGAATTGAACCCAGTTGCTGTACCACTGAGCTCTCCCCAGCTGCCCACCCCCTTTTATATTTTATTATTGTTGTTGTCATACTGGGGATTGAACCTGAGGTGCTTTCCCACTGGGCCACATCCCTAGCTCCTCAGCCCCCCAGCCCAGGCAGCAGCACCATGGCTGGCAAGTGTTACTGCATAAATGCTTCTAGACACTGTTTCATGGAGAGATGACCTGGGTGATATTACCTTTATGAAACCGCTTTTCTCCTTTGTTTCTTTGAAAGCAGATGGTGTACCCTATTAAGCAAGACACCTGCCTGAAAGATATGAAGTTCAGACCCTGAATATTTCACATACTGTATCCACAAATTAATGAGATTGTATAATGAAATAAAAAACCTTGAAATTCACAAGAAAGCTTCACTTTTGGGCACTAATAGTGTGTTTTCTTGAAAATATATATATATATTTAAAAAACTATCTGCAAGAGGCTTTATTAGGATTTAGGTTCCAGCATGAGGGGAGGCAGTGTAGGAACTGTTCCCCAAAGTGCGTCTTTTGAACTCAGACACACCCAAAGAAACCGGCTTTCCTCCAGAGTTGTGTTTTGAAATGCACTCTTGGGCTTTTAATCGCCTTCTGTCCGTGGCATTTTTTCCCTTGCTGGTCTGTTCTTGTTTGAGGTCTGATTCCAAAACACAGAACTTGTTTGTGCCTCCCGAGCCGCTGGGATCGCAGAGTGTGCCACTGCGCCTGGCTCCACTTGGGTTTGTTTCTAACTGCGGGCCAGGGCTGGGGGGTTTGGGATGCTCTTTATATAGCACAGGTTTTCTTTTCTTTCCTTTTTCAAAATTTGCAGTATTGGGAATTTAACCCAGGCCTACATCCCTAGTCTTTATTTAATTTTTGCTTTTGAGATGGGGGCCTTACTAAGTTGCTGAGGCGAGGCTTGAATTTGTGATCTTCCTGCCTCAGTCTCCCGAGTCCCTGGGATTACAGGTGTTGGCCACCATGCCCAACACAAATTTCTTATAAAATTATTTTTTTCACTTATGTAGTGGTAGGATCTTATTGTATTGCCTAGGCTGGGCTTGAACCCTGGGCTGAAGCCGTCCTCCTACCCCAGTTTGCCCGGCAGGCAGGACACAGGTGAGTGCCACTGTGCCCAGCTACTATTTTTGGATTTTAGCTTTATTTATTTATTTTTGGTGATGCTGGAGATTTCTTTTTCCCCTGATCCTCGGGTGGAACCCGGGGTGTCGTGCTTGTGAGGCAGGCACAGTGCCAGTTCTTTTTATAGGAACTTTAAAGATGCTGTTTGGTTGCCTTTTGGCTTCTATTGTTTCTCTTAGAAACTCAGTTGTGATTTGAATAGTTGGTTATGTTTTGTTTTTTTTGTATACTGTACCAGGGATTGAGCCCAGGGCTGCTCTATCACCGAGTTGTGTCCTTTGTCCTTTATTTATTTATTTTTCATTTTGAGTCAGGGTCTTGCTAAATTGCAGAGGCTAGCTTCAAACTTGTGATCCTCTTGCCTCAGCCTCCTGGGTCACTGGGGTTATAGGCACACACCACCACACTAAGATTTTCTCTTTCATCTTCAATTTGCAACAGTTTGATGATCCTATGCATAGATACAGGAGTACTTCTTTGGATTTATTTTGATTAGAATTAATGTCTACCACCAAATTTGGGAATCTTTCAGAGTAAATTTCCTCTGTTCTTTTTTCTGTATATATTTTCTCTTCCAAGATTCCAATTGTGTGTATTTTGGACTGCTTGATTTTGTTCTCTTATTTTTTCTGTGTGAGGCACGCTTGCTTGCTGGGGACGGAACCCTGGGCATTTCGCATGCCACATGCTAGGCTAGCACGTGCCACTGAGCTATGCCCCAAGCCCACCTCCTTCCACCACATCAGTGTTCCCCGCATTCCTTCATTTTGCGTGGCTTCTGCTCCTCTGTCCCTGGCTCACTGACCCCTGTCCCTGATAATCTGCTGGTCAGCCCCTGCAGAGATGGTTTTCACCTCAGATAGTTATGCATTTGAGTTTAGAATTTCCAGTTGTTCTTTTATATGTTTAATTTACCTTCTGATACTTCCTATCTGTTCCCTCTTTGACCTTTTTTTTTTTTCTTTTTTGTCTTAAAATGTATTTATAATGGACGCTTTGAAGTCCTGGCCTTTCATCTCTAGCATCTGGGACATCTGGGAATCAGTCTCTGAGGGTTCCTTTTTTTTACTCTTGGTCAGATTTTTTGTTCCTGGGTTTTTTTTGTTTGTTTTGTTTATTGTTTTGCATGTCTGTGTTTTCACTGAGTTCTAAATGTTGTAGATGATAAATACCCTGTATTCCACTCTCTTCCTCTGAAATAGGTTTGGGTTTTGTTTCAGAAGCAGTCCTGGCTAGCTATCCCTTGGAGCTCGAGGGCGCTTGCTTTTGCCCTCCGCTGGGGCAGGTGTGTTCAGTTTCACCCTTGGCTTTGCTGGGGCAGGTGTGTTCAGTTTCACCCTTGGCTTTGGGTGAGGGCTCAGCTGAGGCTGGCCCTTCTGGGGTTGCAGTTGCCTAGGGCCTTGCTAAATTGCTAGTCGCTTGTTAATTGCTCTGGTTGAGGTGTCCAGGCCCCTCATTGCCTCTCCCTGCGGTGGGCAGCAGCTGAGAGCCCCTCTCATCCAGGCCTGGACAGTATGTTTTCCACCAGGGGGTTCTTGTGTGGTCAGGGGTCGGCCAGGATTTAAGGGAAACTCACACACAGACGTTAGGACTCCTCTTTGTGGCTCCCTCTTTTTTTTTTTTTAATCCCCCTTTGGTGTCCCCTCTGGCAGCTCTGAGCTTCGTCTTCGGACTCCTCAGGCCCATCACAGTGCAGTTTTCCGCTCACATCCACATCCACTACGTGGTGTCCTCTGGGTAAATGCTGCGTCAGGGGTCAGTGGTTGCCTTCTTTCAGGGGCCAAATCCTCTGTGGTTTCTACCTGCCTTTCTTGTGCGGTGTGGGTGCTGGGGATCACTCAGGGCCTGGTGCAACCTCGGCAAGCTCTCGGCCACAGGGCCACCTCGAGCCTTCCGCCTGCATTTGGACACCATCACACAGTGGCTTTTGACATTTTGTCTGGAATCTATAATAGCTACCTATAGGAGAATCAGATATGGTTCTCCTCCGTCATACTGGACCGGAACTTCACTTGGACTTTTGTTTTCTGTACCGTGGATTGAAGCCAGGCAGCCAGGTGTACTTAACCAGTGACCCCTTCCCAGCCCTTTTTATTTTTTTATTTTGAGACAGGGTCTCACTGAGTTGCCTAGGGCCTTGCTAAATTGCTGAGGCTGGCCTTGAACTGTGATCTTCCTGTCTGAAGCTCCTGAGCCACCAGGCAGGTGCCACCACACCTGTACCTTTCATTTTTAAATTTTCAGATATTTGTCATTTCTATGTAATTTCATTTTGCTGCTTTAAAAGTCTTGCTTGGCTTCCTTTATTCCTGCTCACTGCACATTTTTAGGTTTGTCTTATTTCTTAAAACATAGTAGGGCTATGCTGGGCAGAGCTGTAATCTGGCAGTTGAGAGCCTAAGACAGGAAGATTACAAGTTCAAGGACAGCCTCTGCAATGTAGTGACACCCTGTCTCAAAATTTAAAAAAGGGGGGAGGGGTGTTTGGGGATGTAACTCAGTTCAGTCGACAGTACCAGGCAAAGAAAAAACAGGCCAACCCTAACATGGCCTCCACGGAGCGAGCTCAGCACGCACAAGGCCCTGTCCGAGTTCCACACCAAAAACAGGAACAACACAGTTCAGGTCTGACAACGTTATCGTCTAAAGTCCTCGCGAGTCTCTTTGCTCTTGGCTGTTGTGGTAACGTCTTTGGTGTTTTGTTTTGGTGTGTGTTTAGTCATATTTACGTGTAGTTTCATGTGGATGGTTTCCTGGTGTCTGGTGTAAAGGCAAGCTTCTCCACAGAGGATTTATGTTGTTTCTGCCAGGAGAAGCCACGACTAAATCAAGATTAATAAATTCTTGCCAGATATGGTGGTGCATGCCTGTAGTCTGGGGAGTCTGGAGGCTGGGGTAGGAGGATCACAGTTTCAAGGCCAGCCTCAGTAACTTAGTGAGACCCCTCCTCAGAAGAAAAGATAAAAAGGCTAGGGATGTATTTTAGTGGTGGCGCTTCCTGGGTTCAATCCCTAGAACCTCTCCAACACAAAAAATTAAGATTAATGAAATTCTTGGTTTATGGTTTGTTTAGACCATCCTATTAGTGTGAATTTGAGTTGCAAACCGTATGGTGGCCAGTTCTCATAGGCCTCCTTCATATTTCTTGATCCTTAGACTTGAGGTAGTTAATTTCTCTAAAGTCTGATTTATCCTTAATTCAAGAAGTAACCCGTTGGGGTTCCTGCTTCGTGGGGAGTGGTGTGTAAAGCTTTTATTGGGCCGCTCCAGGTGGGTCCTGCTTTCTCCGCTCTTTGCCATGTCCTCTGAGGTCTCAACACACAGCTCCCCTGGTGGGTATGTGCTCTTGCGACAGGGACAGAACCTGTTCCCCCACTCATGGGTGCTTGCCTTCACTTAGTTTTTCAGTCTGAGGATTGCTTTTAATCATTTTTCTCTCAGGGATATATTAGAGATGCTTGTTTCCAGGGGAAGGGAGCGCAAGGTACCTGGCCCAGCCTGCTAAGGACCCACCATGGAAAAGTTTATTCTTAGTCTGATTTTGTGGTCTTTTCCTTTATTTTATTTATTTTATTTTTTATTTTTTTTTTTAAGAGAGAGAGAGAAAGAACTTTTTAATATTTATTTTTTAGTTTTTGGCGGACATAACATCTTTGTTTGTATGTGGTGCTGAGGATCGAACCCAGGCCGCACGCATGCCAGGCCAGCGCGCTACCGCTTGAGCCACATCCCCAGCCCTGGTCTTTTCCTTTATAATCTGGCAGATAAGAGGATTGCCACAAGTTGCACATGGTGATGTACCCCTTTGGTCCTGCTGTCACATACCTATAGTCACCTCCCCTATAGTCCCAGCTACTAGAGAGGCTGAGGCAAGATGAGTGCTTGAGCCTATGAGTTTGAGACCATCCTGAGCTGGCAGCATAGAAAGACCCTGTCCTGTCTCCAGGCAAAAAGAAAAAAAAGGGTTGCGACACATTCTGAGCTGGAAGGCCTGGGATAGGAAGTGAGCCTTGAGTATGGAGGGAAGAAAAAGAGGGTGCTTCCAATTTAGAACTGGCAAAAACAGGGCATTTCTTGGTCGTAAGGGGCCGCGGCCCAGGTAGCGCTGTGTGCAGTAGGGAAGGTACTGCGGGCTTTCTCCTCTGGAGCCTGCCGTTCTCTCTCAAGCTCTTGTGGCTTTGCCAGTTCCTGGAGCTGAGGTCTCTACTTCCTTGATGGCTGATGGTTGGGGCCACTGTCAGATCCTGGAG